GATGGGCGATACTGGGAGGGATACTGGGAGGGGGCTGGAGGGATGATGGGGGAGCTGCTGGGAGGAAGGTGGGGGGTGCTCAGAATGATACTGGGAGGATTCTGGGGTGGGAGAGGGGGAATAATGCGAGGGAGGATGGGGAGATACTGGGATGGATACTGGGAAGATGCTGGGGGGATGCTGGGGGGGGAAGATGAAGGGAGATGTTGGGAGGAAGGATGGGGAGATGCTGGGGGGGAAGGTGGCGGGTGACAAGGACACTGGGAACAGAGGGACTGGGACTGGGACACTGGGAACAAAGCCACTGGGAACAAAGACACTGGGAACAAGGACACCAGGGACTGGGACACTGGGAAAAGGGACACCTAGGACTGGGACAGGGACATATGGGACACGGTGACAGGGACACTGGGAACAGAGGGACTGGGACTGGGACACTGGGAACAAAGCCACTGGGAACAAAGACACTGGGAACAAGGACACCAGGGACTGGGACACTGGGAAAAGGGACACCTAGGACTGGGACAGGGACATATGGGACACGGACACTGAGAACAAGGACACGGGGAACAAGGACACCAGGGACAGGAACACCTGGAACAGGGACATCTGGGACTGGGACACCTGAGACAGGGACATACGGGGACAGGGACACTGGGATCAAGGTCACTGGGAACAGGGACACTGGGAACAGGGACACTGGGAACAAGGACACCAGGCACAGGGACACTGGGAACAGGGGCACTGGGACTGGGACATTTGGAACAGGGACACTGGGAACAACAACACTGGGAACAAGGACACGGGGACAGGGACACTGGGAACAAGGTCACTGGGAACAGGGACACTGGGACTGGGACCTATGGGATTGGGAAAGCGGGGGAGTGGGACAGCAGGGTCACTTTGGACAGGGATACTGGGAACAGGGGCAAGTGGGACTGGGACACCTGGGACTGGGACACCTGGGAGAGGGACATGTGGGACTGGGATATGTAGGACAGGGACACCAGAGTCGCCATGGGACTGGGACACCTGGGATAGGGACATAAGGGACTGGGACAGCGGGACACTTGGGACTGGGACCTATGGGAATGGGAAACCTGGGACTGGGACACCTGTGTCACCTGGGATGGGGACACTGGGAAAAGGGACACTTGGGACCGGGATCCCTGGGATAGGGATGACTGGGACGCTGGGAACTGGGCCAGCTGGGCCAGCATGGGGACAGCGGCCGGTGACGGAGCCCCGCGCCCCTGGGGGGACGAGGGGGGACAGCTGAGACCCCACGCGCTCGTGACACGTGGGTCTACAGATGCTGAGACCACTCCACACTCGTGACACCTGGATGCACGGCTGCTGAGACACCCCCCCCC